TCTCCCACTTGGATATCAAAGTGCCATCAGCGAGCTCACCCGAACTCTCCCCTTCTTCGCATGTATCTTCTCCTCCCCGGAAAAACATTTCTTCAATCAACAATATCCCGGCGATCTCGCCGATCCTCGTAGTGTGGCTCCGCCTTCGTCTTCTACTCGTGAAGGCCAACTGAAATTACGCACAACTCCAGTTTCTCAATGGTGACTGCCTTCGTCAACATGTCCGCCGGATTTTGACTTCCTAAAATCTTTATCAAATGTAGCTTTCCATCTTCAACTAGCGAGCGTATAAAATGATATTTTACGTCGATATGCTTCGTTCTGGCATGATATACTAGATTCTTGATAAGATGTATAGCGCTCTGGCTATCACAATAAAGAACTCCTCTCCCTTACTTCAGATCCAACTCTTCCAAACACCCGTTCAACCAGGTCATCTCCTTGCTTGCTTCAGTCACCGTAACATACTCAGCCTCGGTTGTAGATAAAGTTACAATCTTCTATAGACGTGAGACCTAGCTCACTGCTGTCGACGCTAAGGTATAAACATACTCTGTGGTGCTTCGCCTCGTATCATGATCACCGGCGAAGTCCGCATCCACGTATCCCTGCAGCACCAACTCCTTACTCCTAAAACATAGTGGCTTGTTCGTTGTTCCCCTCAAGTACCGCAATATCCACTTCACGGCCTCCCAATGCTGCTTTCCTGGATTGCTTGTAAACCTGCTCATAACTCCCACTGCATGGACGATGTCTGGCCTCGTGCAAACCATCGCGTACATGAGACTCCTAATGGCCGAAGAATATAACACTCTGCTCATATGCTCTCTATCTGCATCTGTCTTAGGCGATTGCTCCTCAGATAACTTGAACCGACTTCCAAGGAGCGTGCTAACAACTTTAGCATCGTGCATATTGAACCTCTGAAGTACCTTCTCAATGTATTCAGCTTGGCTTAATCTCAACGTCCCTTCAGCTTCATCCCCACTAATTCGTAGCCCTAGAATCTGCTTTGTTGTACCCAGATCCTTCATTACAAATTCCTTTGCTAGCTGCTTCTTTAAACTGTTTATGTCTTCTAAACACGGTCCTGCTACCAACATGTCATCAACATATAATAACAAGATAATGAAGCTGGACTCGAACCTTTTGAAATAACATCAATGATCTGAATTGCATCATCTGTAGTCATTGTTTTGCATAAAATTATTAAACTTCTTATACCACTATCTTAGAGCCTGTTTCAAGCCATATAAGCTCTTCTTGAGCTTGCACACCATCTCTTCCTTTCCTTCTTCAATGAAGCCAACATGCTATTTCATGTAGATTTCTTCATCCAAGTCACCATTAAGAAAGACAGTCTTCACATCTAACTGCTCAAGAAAGAGATCTTCTGCAGCTACCAAACTCAACACCACTCTGATGGTTGTGAGCTTCACAACAGGGAAAAATATCTCCGTGTAGTCCACTCCTTCCCACTGTTAAAACCCCTTTACTACTAATCTGGCATTGAATCTCTTGCTTCCATCACTCTCTTACTTGACCCGGTAGACCCATTTGTTATGTAAGGTCTTCTTCTGTGCAGGTAACTGGGCTAACTTTCATGTCTCATTAGTGAGTAGAGAATCCATCTCCTCCTGTATCGCATGATCCCACTGTTGAGATTCACTCACTTGCATTGCCTCTTCATAACACTCCGGCTCACCGCTATCTGTCAACAATAAGTAGTCAGGAGATAAAAGATATCTGAGATTTGGTTTGGGTACCCTGGATGACCTCCTAAGCTCCATGCCCTGGGTAGTTTCTTCTGCACCTGGAGCCTCCTCCGTTCTGTGGTCAGAACAAACATCATCACCCCTATTTGGAAGTTCCTCTATATCCATGTACTCGGATCCACCTGTATCCGAAGTGCTGCTCCCACTGCTTTGGCTATCATTGGTATTTTTCCTGTTCTTGTACATGACCTCCTCATTGAATATCACGTCCCTGCTTCTAATGATCTTCCTGTTCTTCTTATCCCAAAGATGATACCCGAACTCATCAATGTTGTATCCAATGAATGTGTACTTTTATGACTTAGCCTCTAGCTTGTCCCTAATGTGGTCACTGATATGAACATAAGCCACGCAACCAAATACCCGCAGGTGTGAGAGATTGACCTTCTTGCCACTCCAAACCTCCTCTGGAATTCCAAAATCTAATAAAACTGATGAGCCGTGATTAATAAGGTAGGTTGCCGTATGCACCGCATCCGCCCAAAATATCTTAGGTAGACCTGCATGTAATCACATGCTCCTGACACGCTCTGTCAAAGTTCTGTTCATCCTCTTCGCAATATCGTTCTGCTGCGGTGTCCCTGGAGTAGTCCTCTCTAATCGAATCTTATTCGTAGCACAGAACCTCTTGAACTCCTCTCGTTCATATTCTTCACCATTGTCTGATCTCAGATACTTCACCTTCAGATCTGTCTCGTTCTCCACCATGACCTTCCACTTCTTGAATACTCCGAACACCTCTAACTCGTGCTTCATGAAGTAAAACCACACCTTCCTCGAGTGATCGTCGATGAAGGTGACATAATATCTCGAACCGCCAAAAGAAGACATATTGGCTGGACCCCATACATCTGTATGAATCAACTCTAGCTTCTAAGTCTTAGATGGCCTTCCACTCTTTTGGAAACTAACCCTCTTCTGCTTCCCAAAGATGCAGACTTCACAAACCCTGACTTCCACGGAGTCGATCCCGGTCAGTTTTCCCTGTGAATGTAAGATCTTCATCCCCTTCTCACTCATGTGCCCTAGCCTGTTGTGCCACAGATCTGTACTCTCTTTGCCAGCTGTAATTACGAGGGTGTCACTCACATGTAAGGTGAGGTAGAGAGTCCTGAGTTTGTTGCCTCGAGTAACTATCATTATACCGTTGGAGATTCTCCACGAATCCCCTGTGAAAGTCGAAACAAAGCCTTTTGCTCCAAGCTGTCCCACCGAAACAAGATTCCTATTCAGCTTCGGCACGTATCTCACGTTCTTCAAGGTCCACTTAGAGCCCTTTATCTGAATCTGTACTTCACCCTTTCCAACAATATTACACGGCTTGTTATTCCCCAAATATACTTTTCCAAAGTCCCCTGCTACATAATTCTAAAGAAGCTTTCTGTTAGCAGTGGCGTGGAAAGAGGCTCCTGAGTCGATGACCCAAGAATCCAAGTCGTTGTCCATAGCAAGAATCAAGGCATCCTGCACGATATGAGCCTGCTGCTCACCCGCATCCTTCTTTGGACTCTTACAGACTGAAGACATATGACCCTCCTGGTCGTAGTTCCAACACTTCCCTTTGATAGGCCTAACCTTCGAGTTTGACCTCTTTTTTACTGATTTCGACCGATTCCTGTTCTGGTTTCCTTTCTTCTGGCTTCTGTCTCTCTGCTCGAAACTTAGAACTGAACCTGAACCTTCTGATTCGGACGATTTTCTTCTAACCTCCTCGGATAGAATCATGCTAACCACCTCACTCAGCTTCAACTTTTCCTTCCCCGCTGAATTGCTGATTGCCGTCACACAACCTGCCCAACTATCCGACAACTGAGATAGTAACAATAGGGTCTGCACTTTATTATCAAACGTGATGTCTACGGAGATAAGCTGATCAACAATCGTGTTGAACTCGCTGAGGTGCATCGTGAAGGATTGTCCTTCTGCCATCTTGAGGTTGAAAAGAGTTTTGACGAGATGCACCTTGTTTGTTACCGACGGTTGCTCGTACATCTCCGCGAGTGCATGCTTTCATAAGCCCCATCGTCGTCTTCTCCTTTAATATGTTGTGGGCTACTGATTTGGCGAGCGACAACCGGATTTGCCCTAAAGCCTTCCTATCCAGTATCTCTCAATCACCATCTGACTCCTCTTTCTTATGTCCCTTCTCCTTACCCATCAACGGGCGATACAAGTCCTTCTGGTACAAATAGTCCTCCATTTGCTACTTCCAGTAGGCGAAATCTGAACCGCCAAACTTCTCGATCTTTGATTTGTTTTCCTCTGCCATGGCTTTCACACAAATTGCTGAATGAAGCTCTGATACCAGTTGTTGGGGATTCGAAATAATCAATTAAACCATTGCCCTTCCGGACCTTGTGTTGAAAGTAGGAAAGTAGAAAAGTCATCACAAATTAGATCAAAACTTGTAAAAGAGTAAAGGAGATGAACACACCAGATTTAACGAGGTTCGGTAAACGTGCCTACATCTTCGGGAGCCACACCACATAATTTTTTTATTAATTGAAGAAGAAATACAAGCTTTCAAACTAGGATTTTATCTCTCTGAGATTCTCTCTTTTCTACAGTCAAAAAGCTCTCTTTTTCGTGTTCTCTCATGCCCTAAACTTTAGGTATATATAGAGTCCTAAAAGAAACAGAATCCAAAACAGATAAGAAAACTGGCTGACTGCGTCGCGGTCGACCGTGGCGGTCGACCGCACATGTATCGTGGTTGTACAGGGTATCCACGGTCGACCGCGACGGTCGACCGAACCAAAACCCGAGACCAAAATCCATTACAGAGATTTGTGTGATCGACCGTCGCGGTCGACTGCCTTCAGCTCCAGGCTCTAAACCAGCTCTGTGCACGTTCGCGGTCGACCGTGCAGGCCTCCTTCTGTTTTCTCGATTTTTTTCTTCGTCTTCTTGATTCCAACTTCGGCTTCGACTTTGGGTCTACACTTTAGACTAACAACTGGACCATCTGCTATTGCGACTATAAGTCTTCAGTTTTCACTATTATTAATTGATTGTTCGTCGATATTTCATTTGACCCACAAGTACGTTTAAACACAAATATGCTCGAAGTGGTGTGCCTTTTAAAGGGCAGGCATCTGATGGGTGCATCTATCATTTATGCTCTCTTCTATAGGAAACCAACATCTTTGAAATCAGATGAAAATACTCTTGTCAGTTACATCTGATTTGAATCACAATCATCTGAAAAGTTCCAGTGCATGTTCATGATATAAACAGATGGCCAACTTTATAAAACTGACACGCAGAGGAGTAACATTTCATACATTCGGTTACCTTAAACAAAACCAGAGTACGAAGACAGACCCTTCTCAGGTCTCCAAGGCAAAACACATGGAATTCATGGGCGGGTGACATTAATCCTTGTTCACCTCAGCCATTCTTTTCCATTACAAACTAAAACCTTAATGTTCCTCTGTAACCACCATTATATACCGGCGGTCGAGGAGAGCCAAATTAAGACACCTCAGGCTATTCAAAAGAGCCCACAGCGACGCAATAACGCCGTATACAGTCTATTACTTTTACTGTTATTGAAAAGTTAGACAGAAGGAAAAGTAAGTAAACAATCCGGTATGATCAGAACTGAGAGCCAGTGAAAGTTTGGCCGAAGTTCCAATTGGAAGGGGCGACGTTGTCGGAGGTGAGGGTGTGGCCGTCGCTGGTGGTGACGCGGAAGGAGAGGGCTTGGCCGTTGAGGAGGCTGTTGCTCTGCCAGTTCTGGCCCCAGTTTCTGCTCATTGGTTGCCAGCCTGTTCTCGTGCCTTTGACGGAGACGGAGACTACGTCGCCAGCGCCGCCAACGTTGGTGATGAGGACCAGGTTGAAGTAGGAGTGGCCGTTGATTGTGAACCTGACGCCTCCTGATTTCTTGCAAGCCACCCTGTTAATATTGAATAGAGACGGGTTAGTTTTGCCTTGAGTGTCTTCAGGCCAGGGATTTTAAAGTTAATTAGCTTCAGTTTGATGCCATCACATCACTTCGCGAACGAGCGTTATGTGTCAAAACATAATCAGGTTATGTTTAAAATGAGGTCAGGATTAATCTGACCAAGTTAATTTTGAGAAATTTGCCATACTGATTCTTCCTACTTTCATTCGAGTACGAGAATAAGGGTTGATTGCAAATAGATCCCAAGGTTAAATTTTTTTTTCCTACTCTTCTACCCTTCCTGAAATTTTGACAGATATTGCCCCGGACTGAAATTATTGAGCCTACGTGGGGTAAAAGAGTGAAAAATATTATTCATTCAGGGGTCTATCTGCAACAATGAAACTACACATGACAGGTGTAAGTTTCAAACAACAACACTAAGGAGGTCCACCTACAATTAACTGAAAAAATAAAAAAATGATTATTTTCGGTGGAGGCACATGGGTCATAAAAGATGAAGACTTTTTCTACAGGAAATTGAAAGGCTTTGAAGGAAGTGGACAGTAAAGGACAACTCAAAGATTTACAATGGTAAAAAAAAAAAAGATTTACCTTCGGAACTGAACGGGGACAATCCCAGCTCTGTACTTGGCAATCTTTTGGAACACAGGCTGAGCGAGGTCAAAGTGCTGCTGTGGAGGATTGCACCAGCCGCCGTTATTATTGGGCAGAGCATTATTTGGTGGGCAGAAGTTTGTTCCAGTGACTACAATAGACCCAGGGAGACACCATTTTGGGTCTTTGTCACATTTGATTTCGTAGCAAGATCCACAACTCAGCCCATTGTTGAAGAGAGCAGTGCTCAAGGCTGCTGTGTTTGTCCCATATCCTTGACTGTACAAATTTCCATACCCACAAGCTCCTCCTGCAACAATCACAAGCGAAAATGGTAAATAATTTCGTGAAAAAGTGCGCATTTGATGGCATATTATTTTGTTAAATGAGCTAGCAAGAGACAGACTAATTTTCATCAGGATAGTTTCAGCTTACCCATTGTTCCAGATGCATCTCCGCCTCCATAGAAGGTGGCGTGGGCACTAGACCAGGCCAGCACCATTGGCAGCTCTGAACAAGGCTAAAAGGGCAAATAGTGAGAGCCCAATAAACTTCATTTTTCTGATACTAGGCAAAAGAGGAGATTTTTGGGGAGCTAAGGAGGAAGAGGCTTGAAATGAGAGCCAAGATAGTTTACTAGGGAAGAGTGAGGGATGAGAGAGGCGAGGAAAGTGAGAGGAAAGAGGGGTGTATTTATAGAGAGAAAGCAAGGAAAAAGATAAAAAATAAATTAAGGAAATTTAGCAATTGGGCCAGTGGAGGGAAGAGTATCCTAACAACAAACTGAAACTAAACTGCTCAGTGACCAGCATTTTTAAAAAAAATGAGCCTAGCGGTCAATGTAGCGTAAATGAAGTAAAATATAATAAAAATTTTCCCGCATTTTTACTGAATTCTTGTTTTCATTGAGATGATAAGCAGCAGTAGAGGCATCTTTTGAGTTTTTCGAACCAAATTCTACGAATCTTATCCTCTGCATGTAAGTTTAGATGCTGGCAACAGTAGTGGGGCACCTCATGGAGAACGATTAACTGCTCCTTTTGGTCGGCTGCTTTTTAACATACTTTGAAGTAAAAAAGGTAAATTAAAAGTTATCCTTTTCTAACTCTATCATTAGCATGCTCTCTTAACTAATTAACAACAATATCAGTGAGTCTTTTCCTTCACACTTCATCTTTAGAGATGTCACTTTTAGGGTGATTATTTAAAGAGGAGAATCTTAGTTCAGAAGTTGATAATAATTAGGGGAATACCTTTACAAGTACGCAGATTACGCGTGAAATTATTCTAATCAGTTCTCTTATTCAGTTAATTATCTAGTTGGTGCTTCTATGCACATGGTTATGGCCTTTAGATTTGACTTAAATCACTTCATAGATTACAATTGACAGGCAAATTGGGAATTGATGTCTTGACTTTTTAAGCCATCGCTGAATAAAGTAATCAAGGTTTTGGAGTTTATAAACTATCATTAGGCAAAGCTCCTGACCTCAAATTCAGGATCTTAAAGTGCGTAGCATGTGGCAAACCATTCTCTTACAAGATAGGAAATGACAGTAAGTTCAACATATTTTTAACCTCTAAACCAAAGTCACTTGCAGCACTAACTCCCATTTCGCTTCGCATTTTAATCTGAGTAAATTTCAGAAAAACCCCCTGAAGTTTGGCCATTTCTCAGATAACTCCTATTTTAACTTTCAATATGTCATAAAACTCTCCTCAAGTTCTAGGGTTCTCAGAAAAGTCCCTTGAACTTTTAACATTTTTAAAAAAAGCACCAAATGCCGTTGACTGCATTTTTTACATTGGTGGCTAAAATTATGTAAAGAGAAATTTTATGTGAGTGAAAATTGTGGTTCAAGCTTTTAGGAGAGTTTCAAAAAAACATTGAAAATTCTGAACACCCAAATTTTTTTGTGTGCGTTGTGTGTGTGTCAGGGCGGGGAGGGGGGGTTGAGGTTGTGACATTTTAAAAGTTAATGGGGCTTATCTGACAAACACCCTAAGTTAATGGGAGTTTTGGACATTTTATCATTTAACTTCTTATTATCAAGTCTTTATAGTTCCATTCTCAGAGGATAATTAATAAAATATGTTCACTGAACAGCTGATGATTGAGGAGAAGAAAAATACTTAAATCTTTGAGAGAAAAAGAGAGCAGATTTTAGACCATCGACCGTCTAAAGTACGTACAAAATCCAAGTTTCTCCTCATCTCATCTCATCTCATGTGGGACACAACACAACTATATAGTATGGAATCAGCTTTATTCTTTACAGCTTAACTAACCCTACATCTTAAGTATCAAGTATCATATACTTATTCCCATCCCATGTTATAAAACCGATCATTTCGCTAAGGCTTCTAATATAAGCATTTCTTTTATCAAAGTTTGTCAATGAAGACTCCATAGCCATAGGTTGATTTGTTTTTACTGCCTGAGTGAAACGCGGATGATTAATATTTTTGATCTTCATGTCATGCAGAGAGAGGAATTCTTATTGGGTTCTGAGTTGACACATACTACAGTCAATTGATTATGCCAAATATTAATGCCTCAGTAGTATCATATATATTTTCATCTATATCTTGAACGAATAGATATCAGATATTCATATTTGTTAGTAAAAAAAATATATGAAAACGGTATGCAGATTACATTTCATATCTGATTGTGTCTCCACTTTTTAATTATTACAAACATTTCCTGAATCAAAATGTGTTTCATATCTAAGTTTCAACTCAGATGCTACCATACTTCTTTCTTGAACATTGAATGAGAAAATTGGTGTGTACAAACTATGAATTGATACGCTATTAATATATTTATCACATGGAGTGTTGCAAAGAGCACCTAGACAATTAAGTTTTATTAATTAAGTTTAGGAAGAAATAATAAAAAATACAAATTAATAGTTACAAATGTTTGGCCATTTGAAGATGTTTTAATTTATTCAACATTTCTTTCCGGTTATCATAATGAAGACGATATGCAGAAATTTCATGGAGAGTTTCACATGTGTCAAATGGAGGATTATTGAAAGTCTACTCAATTTCTAGCTAGCATACGATCAACAAAGTTGATGCTTGATTTCCTTTTATGGGGATCGTGACAAGGAATTCTTGTGGGATTAGTTTTTTGGGCTGGGGTCTGGGAGCACAAATAATAGTCATTAATCGAGCTAATCTCGGATCAAACTTATATATGATTTTTATTGTAACCATGTTTCGAGTGATCTCCTCTCTTCCCCAGTATTTAGGCACAAATTACAATCCATTAATCGTGGAACTCTAGTAGCAATTTTTTTATAATTTTTATTGTTACCGTGTTTCGAGTGATCTCCACCATTTCCGAAGATGAAAATTTTAAGGGTTAGTTTTTAAAAACCTCATTAAATATTTTCTCAGAAAATCCTCTTCAATTATTTTGCTTTCAGTAAAACCCCTCAAGTTTGAGAGAGTTATAGATAACCTCCTGAACCTTAAAATTTAATGTAAGCCCTCTCAAATATAGGGTTATTTTAGTCTTTCCAAGTCAGGAGCTTCTCATGTGACGCATTAACCTTTTATTTAGAGTGTTAGTTTCATGTGGTTTAAGTGAGGAAAATCCATGGATTAGATCAAATAATTTCATTGG